ATGCTCCTTTCCTGGTATTCATACTCATCTCAATGAGTACGCTGCCCCCATGAAAGGTGGATCTTGCCCATTTTCCGAGCAATACTTACAGCCTCCTCAGCCTGCCTCTTGTAGGATTTCACCTTCATTTGAAGCTTGTCCACCAGATCCTGGAGCCTGAGAATGTTCTTCCGGTCCTCCTCAGACTACAGTAGTTGTCAAACAGGAAGGAGAGCAAATTACTGGTTTCACCACACCACAAGATAGCATTTCCCCTTGGAGTTCATGTGAGAAGCTGTGCCTTCCTGGGCTGATGGTGTGTGAGCTGAAGGAGGCCTAGGTCAGCTCCTTCACCCTCCTCTCGTACTTGCGCACACCCTTCATGGATTCAGCGCTACGCTTCTGCTCAGCATCAACCTCCCCTTCCAGCTCCCGCACCTGCCATGAGAAACCCATCTTTAGAGCTTCCCTGCTGCCTACTTATGTGACATGCTCACTCAGACACAAATACCAGCCCTACGCACTCTGGCCTCCAGCTTCTGGATTTGCTTCTTGCCTCCCTTCAGTGCCAGCTGCTCAGCCTCATCCAGACGGTGCTGCAGGTCCTTCACCGTCTGGTCCAGGTTCTTCTTCATCCTCTCCAGGTGGGCGCTGGTGTCCTGCTCCTTCTTCAGCTCTTCTGCCATCATGGCCGCCTGATGGGAGCAAAGGGTCAAAGCCATTTTGGGGCTGGAGACATTTTGGGGAGAATACATCCACCATCAGCATTGAAAGGAGCCTCCCACTCACATCTGTGATGGCCTTCTTGGCCTTCTCTTCAGCATTGCGGGCTTCCTGGATAGTATCCTCCATTTCACCTTGAATTTGGGCAATGTCTGTTTCCAGCTTCTTCTTGGTGTTTATCAAGCTGGTGTTCTGTTGAAGAAATATTGTAGTGTTTTATCCAGCAGCTTTAAACCATACTTAGTAAAAACAAATTACTCATTTTTATTTGTGGTTTTATGAATGTTATATATGAAGAATATGCAGTGCTGATAAATGTCAGACTGCTGAAGACGCAGTGACATACTGCTGCTAGAAAAGGAAAATAGACTTAGTGATCATTTCAGTTCTCTAAGACAAGTAGATGTTAAAGCTATTCAACCCTAGAATTTACCTGAGAGTGGAGGAGCTGGACTCTCTCACTTGCATCCAGAAGCTCCTGCTCAGCCACTTTCCTCGACCGCTCTGTCTGCTCCAGGGCTGCCTGTAGCTCCTCAACTTCAGCCTGCAGCAGGTTAGCTCTGCGCTCCACCATGGCCACCTGCTCCTTCAGGTCCTCCTGTGTCCTGAGAGCATCATCCAAGTGTATCTGGGTATCCTGGTAAGAAAGGAAAGAGAGATTATAAGGTCTATTTTTCCAATTTTGTTGTGTACAGCTTTCACAACAGTATAGAACAGATACAATTGTTGCACAGGAAAATTTTTCAGAAATCAGTCAGCACGTTTATTTGTGCCATACCTTGAGCACTGCCTGTGTGTTTCT